CTTTTGAGGAAATCTAATGTTCAAAAACTGCCGTACGTTTAAATCAAAGTGAGGAGGAGCGCCCTCTAGTAGGTACCACATCCGTTGCCTTAATTGTAACGGTATCTCTTCTAGGAGTACTGGCAAAATATCTTCTAAAAAGTGGAGATATCCTGGCCCATTTAATCTGTTCGGGAGAACATAAGGCCCGATTAAATACTGATCTATTATGCCAGCCCAAACATTTATTGAAAATTTTCTTTGATGCCCAGTTTCCCTAATGGCGTGAGGATTTTCATCACTCCAAATATGCGTATTGTGCATATTGAACACGCCATCACGAGTGAATGAAGCCTCGTCAGTATACAATAATATTTTTAGAAAATCAGGAATATCAACACATTTTTGAATCATCCATTCACAAAACTCCACTCTCTTTTCTTCATCACCTGGATATAAGGCCTGGACTCTTTGGATGTGATAAGGATGTAAACCTTGTTCTTTAAGTGTCCGCCACACAACAAATGAGGACACTCCAATTTCAAGACCTAGTCTTCTACAACTTAATTGAGGCCGGTTTTCAACAGCTTCCAATATTTCTTCTTCGGCCGCCAATGTTCTTTGTGTTCTTGTTCTCCCTCGATCTGCATTGACACTCTCAAATTTTCCATGGTCTCTTAGATGCTGAACAGTTGAAATAAACGTACGACAGTCCGGAATTCTCCGATTTGGAAACCGTTCGCGATACAGGATTTGTGCTTACCGAGAATTTTCTCCAGCTGCCCCATAAACCAGCACTATATCCGTTAGTTCAATATTCGTAAATAGTGGCATCGTAAAAAAATATTTAAAAGTAATCGTAACAACACTTTTTACCAACTTGGAAATGACGCGCTCGTGTTAGCCAGATTCGTAAATCAACTAAAATTTTAATAATCTATAGTTTCAAAAATGTATAGTTTAAAAACAATCATTTATCAAATATTCTAGTTTTTTGATAACGAGGGTAGTAAAAACCAGTCTTCGGAAATAGAAATTAATTCGAAAATCTTGGCAACATGGTTATTTCTTACAAGACTAGTTTTCTTATCATCTGACAAAAACTTGCATATTAATTACTGTTGATGTTTAAAATAGGTAAATAAACCTAATTTATATAGGTCATCCTCAACATATCAGTGAAGTACGTTTGTTTTAGAATTAATTTTCAAAAATTAATAACTCCCTTAATAAGGGGTATTTTTAAAAAATAATATTTTTCTACATTCAGTGGGGATCTGCGCAATACCCAGTTTTAATATGTACGTGTATTTCAATAACATCCTGTATAACAAACTTTATTATTTTACAAATTATATTAAAGTTGCTCTACCTTAATAACTAAAATAACCTGAACTTAATATGGTTTAAATGTTTTGTTTATTGTTTTTTTTATTTTTGTTTTTTTTTATTTTTTTTTTCTATTTTTTCTTTTTTCTCTTGTCTTTAATTTTTTTTTCTTTTCTTAACAATTTTTTCGAAACAGGTGTACAAATTTTTTTATTGGTAGCATCGCTACTTACATGTTTTATTTCTATTTCCTAATTACAATTTTAATTTGAGTGTTTTGACGAAATTATAGAGTATGTTATATATAGTGTCAAATGTTAGTAGATTTTAAATTTATAGGTAACTGAATTTTGTTGTTAATTAAGTTTTGGTATAATAAATTAATTTCTAAATCGTTTAGAATACAATCCAAAAATATATGTTGTAAATCAGCAATCTTATCACAAATACACAAATCATTATCTATTATACCTATTCGCTTCATATATTGAGGGTATAAAGCATGATTAGTTCTAATTCTGCTAATCGTTTGGATTAGTGGTCTATTTGACAGCTTATCAAACCACGGTTTTACCCTTATATTAGGTCTTGGAAGCCTCTTTACAACGGTGTCTGAAAAAAATCACATTCTTAAAAAAATTAATTGTTTTATCATGCTTACAATAAAAAAATCAAAACTACGTTTTTAAATCAAATGTTCAAATTGTCCTCCATTGTCTACCATACAATAATACAATCTTGACTGAAAACCATCTCTAACATGGTCCAGCATAATTGGAGTTATTTGAAGACACTCATTTACAATTCGTTGGCGTAGTTTGTCACAAAAATCTTAGACTTAAGATGTCCCCTAGACTGGGCCAAAAAAATAAATATTTTTTTTTTTGAAAGATATATCGAGAATATCATTCAGAATGATAAAAAAAAATTTCGTGAAAATTTGAGCCCTTAATATTAATTTTAAGAGGTCTATCATCGCTATTTTTGATTTTTTGTCATAATTTGATGTTTTACGTTAGAACTGTCAAAACATTAAAGTGAAAAAAATTCCTTTTCACTTATTCTGATATAAAATTAAATTCTCTACACAAATGGTCTGATTGAAAATTTTCGTCAGACGAGCTGTTTCCAAGTAATTTCGTAACTAATAAATAACTTTTGAAGAATTAAATTTAGGCAAAAATATTAAGAGACCTTTTTTGTAGAACATTAATTTTCCTTTAAGAATCCGACGTGGGCTTTTTTAAATATGCATTGATTCATTAGTTACGAAATTACTCGAAAACGGCTCGTCTGACAAAAATTTTAATAGGGCCTTTTTTGTAGAGAATTTAATTTTACATAAGAATAAGTAAAAAGGATTTTTTTTTCACCTTAATGTTTTGACAGTTCTAACGTAAAACATCAAATTATGACTAAAAATCAAAATAGCGATGATAGACCTCTTAAAATTAATATTAAGGGCTCAAATTTTTAGGAATTTTTTTTTTCATCATTCTGAATGATATTCTCAATATATCTTTAAAAAAAAAAAAATTGTTATTTTTTTGGCCCAGTCTACCCCACAAGAAGAAGTCCAGAGGGTTCAGGTCAGGAGAGCGAGCAGGCCACTCCATAGGACCTCTTCTTTCAATCCAGCTCAACACGTTCTTGCAATGTGTATACCATAATTTATTTTTAAAATTGTAAGCAAATCAGTAAAGTAGTAACTCAACAGATTGATTTTTAATACATGAAATGATCGAAGAAACATGATAAACATCTTCTAAGAACAAAAAATGAAGGCAAGATAAGAAAATGTTTTGATTTTTTTTATTTATTAGTTCGAGAGAATTTATTATTGTATGGAAGTCAATGAAGGACAATTTGAACATTTGATTTAAAAACGCAGTTTTGATTTTTCTGATTGTAAGCATGATAAAACAATTAATTTTTTTTAGAATTTGATTTTTTTCATACACCGTTGTAAAGATAGGGGTTCTCATTCAAGCTTCAAATATACGTCAAAAGATGTCCCCCAAAGAAAATCATAAGACGTGTTTCGGGAAATTCTTCCAATTACTATGGGATAAGAAATATACGGGGTGGCTCGTTTGAGATGGAACACCCTGTATATATACACACACCTATATACACATTTCTATATAGCTTATAGTTTCAGGGTAATTCAATAAGTTGATGAATGGTATGTCTATTTATTTCTAATAAGAATGATTTAAAGTATTTTTTGAACATGTCAATATTATTTATCACTAAAAAATAATTTTTATAAAGATCAGGTAGCTCGTTAAAGAATTTAGCAGAAAGGTGAGTATAGCATTTTGTTCCAATCATTTTATTTGCTCTATTTGACATTACGTAATTATTGTGTTTTTGTCATGTATTATAGCAATGAGCAATATATTGAAGAATAGCTTTATTTTTATATGTTATTTCAAAATTAGAAGTTATATGTATTTTGGGTTTTTACATTTCTAAAAATTTTAATCAATGTTTCATGGGTAAGGTCGGTCCTGAAAAACGAAATGAAAAGAAAATCAGGACATCGAATTGTCATGAGAATTTGAGGGTGGTCAGAAAATTGTAAAAAAGATTGTCAGATTAGAAATTTTGAAGGAAAAGGTAGTTGGAATTTGTATGAAAAGAAAAGGAATATTGATGTGATTGAAATGATGGGAAAATACTAGAAGTTGAAATAAAAAGATTTAAAAGTAAAAGGTAAAGAAATTTTTATTAAAAAAAAAAAAAAAATCAACGAAGTGAGAGCAGATTTGGCAGGAGGATAGTTTGTAAAAAGCATAAGTAGAGACAATAGAGAGGAGTAGGAGCAGGTAAATACAAACAGACAGGAAGAGACAGGTGCAGGCTAGGGACAGTTGGACACGGAGAACGGACAGAGACGATAGCACATAGACAGAGATTTTTAAGTGAAAGAAGAAAGAACATATTATTTAATATAATTGTTAAATTAATATTTTTTTTTTATTTTTTTGTTTCAAAATTCAATATTGTGAACCCATGGAACATTGAAATTGGTTAGATTAAGGTGTAGGTAAGAATTTTCTGTGTGCTGAAATCCAAATTGCTATCCTTGTTAGTGTGAACCCACGAACCCTGGGATTTTAAAATTATATTGGGAGAATAAAGGGTGAGTTAATTTTTTTTATATTACAAATTGATTTTCATAACATTATTTTTTTTAAATTCTATAACAAATAAGATTTTTCATATCAATAGCAACATTAAATTAATATAGTTGCCGAATAAGCAGGACGTGACTTTCATAGAAAAGTAAGTCAGACGAGTACATAATTGGTTTATTTAGTATTATTATTTTTAAAAATCTCTTTTGCAGGATGTCTAATCTGAGTAAATGAGTGTATGAGCATGCACCCCAGCTTACTTACTTACAGCAATACTGAAGGCGTGATTCCACTAATGCACGATACAGTGTTTTTAGCTGACTCCTAGTAAGTACTTTGCTTAAGTATCTATATTTGTACAATATTATTCTAAGGGTTTTTGTAACTTGTTGAATGTGCTAATAATATTTATTAACAACTTCATTGTTTAGTTTCGTTTCAATAGTGAAAGATTAACTAAAAGCTTTCACTAGTATGAATTTCTAAATGTTTTCTAAAGTAAGATTTACGATTAAAATATTTAGAACAAATGCCACACTTAAAAGGTTTTTAATCACTGTGAATTGTTAAATGTTTCTGTAAGTGTGATTTTCGAGTAAATCCTTTAGAACAAATATCGCACTTAAATGGTTTTTCGTTACTGTGACTTTTTACATGACGTCGTAAGGTAGATTTATTACGAAAACGTTTGCAACAAATGTCACACTTGAATGGTTTTTCATCACTATGAGTTATTGAATGGTGCTGTAAGCTTGATTTCCAAGCAAACATTTTGGAACAAATATTACATTTGAATGGTTTTTCGCCAGTGTGAATTATTAAATGTTGCTGTAAGTTTGATTTCTGAAAAAAACATTTCGAACAAATGTTACACTTATATAGTTTTTCACGACTGTGAATTAGTAAATGTTTTAGTAAGGTAGATTTATTATTAAAACATTTTGAACAAATGTCACACTTGAATGGTTTTGCACCACTGTGAATTATTAAATGTTGCTGTAAATGCGCTTTCTGAGTAAAAATTTTGAAACAAATGTTACACTTGAATGGACTTTCACCGTTGTGAAACATTGAATGTCGGTTAAAGGAAAGTTTATGAGTAAAACCTTTTAAACAAATATTACATTTGAATGGTTTCTCACCAGTGTGACTTATTAAATGTTGCTGTAACTGTGATTTCTGTTTAAAGCCTTTGAAACAAATGTCACACTTGAATGGTTTTTCATCACTATGAGTTATTGAATGGTGCTGTAAGTTTGATTTCCAATTAAACATTTTGGAACAAATATTACATTTGAATGGTTTTTCGCCAGTGTGAATTATTAAATGTTGCTGTAAGTTTGATTTCTGATTAAAACATTTCGAACAAATGTTACACTTAAATGGTTTTTCACTAGTGTGAATTAGTAAATGTTTTAGTAATGTAGATTTATCATTAAAACTTTTTGAACAAATGCCTAACGTATCGGCGGTTTCCGAATATGCCATCGGGCTTCGAATCCCACAGAAGACCATGTGAATGTATTTGCATGGTTCCCTGTAGGATTTGATAGATACCGTATTAGCAGAAATGTAATTTCCGTCCTTTCCCCTACACAAGTCGCTCAGTCGACTTCAGGGGTTGAAATTCACTCAAAAGGGGGTGAAATAAGGAGATATTTATTATTTATTACATTGCATTATTATTATTCTTTTTTACCACTGTGAATTATTAAATGTTTCTTAAAGGAATGTTTTTGAGTAAAACCTTTTAAACAAATATTACATTTGAATGGTTTTTCACTAGTATGAATTAATAAATGTTGCTGTAAGTATGGTTTATGAGTAAAACTTTTGGAACAAATGTTACACTTAAATGGTTTTTCACTACTGTGAATTAGTAAATGTTTTCGCAAGGTAGATTTATCATTAAAACATTTCGAACAAATTTCACACTTGAATGGTTTTGCATCAGTGTGAATTATAAAATGTTGCTTTAAATTACTTTTATTAATAAAAGATTTGGAACAAATCTCACACTTGAATGGTTTTGTATCACTGTGAATTAATAAATGTTGTTTTAACACAGATTTCATATTAAAACTTTTTGAACAAATGTCACACTTGAATAGTTTTTCATCTCTGTGATTTGTCAGATGATATTGTAAGGAGTAATTATAATTAAAACCTTTGCAACAAATGTCACAATTGAATGGTTTTTTAACATTGTGAATGATTAAATGTCTTTGTAACTTGGATTTTAAATTAAATGTTTTGAAACAAGTACCACACTCGAACGATTTGTCGTCAATGTCGTTAATGTTTTCCCGCTTCAACTTTTTGGAAGAAAGACTATATTTCAAAGGCGTGTCGTCAATATGATTTTTCAATCCATTTTTCACTATATGGTTAAAAAGATGTTGAAAAAATTCAATTTTTTTCATTATTCTTCCACAAAACTGACAAACCAAGAAGCGTTTCTCAAAATGTCCATCAATATGAGTCGATCTTGATTTAGAAGAAGGAAAATCTGCAAATTAAAAAAATATATTATGATTATGGATTTAACATTCAATCCAAAAATAATTACTGATTCGATTCTCTCACATTTAAAATATTCGATTATCCATTATTTAAAACAAAATTAATACAATTCAATTTATTCAGTTTAAATACATTACAATATTCTATACAATGTTAAATGACATAATGATAGAATGAAAATATTAAATACAAATGGAAGTCAGACAAACGCAGCATCACATTAGGCTTGAAAGTCTGTTTCGTGAACTGCATTGCATGACTCCAAACTCTAAAATTTAAAAATAAACAAATTTTCCGTTTTTTCTTGTGCTTTTTTTTTGTTGCTAAGAAAATACTGGGCGGATCACCTAAGAGTAGTACTCAAGATGGTTAAGGGATGTTAAATATATCTGCATTTTTTGTATAAACGTTTTCACATCAGTTTTAAAAAAATTAAATTTTATTGTTAGTTTTAGGCTATTTGGAAGCTTGTTAAATAATTTAGGTCCATAGTACATAAAGGAATGTTGGGTAGCAGTTTTATGAAAAAGTTCAGTTTTAATATCAAAGTTAGTTTTTGACTGAGTATCCCTCTGATGATTCAAGGTAGTGAACTTTGATGAATCATGGAACATCCTGGTTAGGCAGTTGTAAACATATATTAAGTGAATATTTAGTAATTTAGTTTCTTGATATAAAAGATTTGTAGAATGATACTTACTCTTTCTAAAAATTATTTTAAGGAGAATATTTTGTGAAATTTGTAATGGTGATAGAGTTGATTTGAATGCTGCACCCCATACTGTTATATATTTAGTTTTTTTCATGTTTAGAGAAACTGTGTTATTATTTAACCATTTGCAAACGCTTTTCATGTTATGTTCAGAGGTAGATTTAACAGTATCCCATGTAGATCCAGTAAAAATTATTACAGTATCATCTGCATAGCATATTATATGACCTTCGAAATTATTTATTTTACTGATACTGTTAATGTAAATTAAGAAAATAATAGGTCCTAATACTGTGCCTTGTGGTACTCCTAATTGTATCATAGACTCTGAACTAAATTTATTCCCTATTTTAACTCTTTGGGTTCTATTAGATAAGTAGTTATTTATTAATTCTAAAGCGACACTCCGGATGCCATAGTTATTAAGCTTATTAATTAATAAGTCGTGATCAACCGTGTCGAAAGCCTTAGCCAGATCAAGAAAAACAGCTAAGCTTTATTCCGATCTGCCCAAGGTCTCTACTGTGGTATTGACAAGGTCCATTATGGCATTTTCGGTATTTGATTTTTTTATGAACCCAAATTGTCTTTCTGTTATCACATCATTTTTATTTAGAAACTCCATTAATCTTCTCTTGTAGGAATGTTCAAAAATTTTTGTAATATTGTTTATTACAGAAATGGGTCTATAATTATTTAACTGAGAAGCTTTACCTTACTTTAAATATTGGTGTAACATTTGAAACTTTCCATTGCTGAGGAAGTTGGCCTGTTAAAAAACATAGATTGATTATGTATACTAGTGGGTCAATAATATGACTGCACTTATATTATCTGGCTCTGGTGAGGCATTCTTTTTTAAGTTAGAAATGATAATTGTCAGTTCATTTTTAGTAATAGGTTCTAGAAATAGTGAGCTGCGAACTGTTACATCTACTAAGAAGTTTTTTTGGCAACTCTTCATTTGGGATTTTCTTACTCATTTCTTTTCCTATATTTATAAAGTATTTATTAAACTCGTTGGCTTTAGTAATATTATCAGTAATTATAGTACCATCTTCAAGTAACATTCTCAATAGTTTTTTTAGTTTTATCTGCACTTATATTGTTAATATTATTCCAATTTTTTTTATAATTAGTTCCAGCCTCCTCGATCTTAGTTTTGTAAAAGTTATTTTTTGTTTTTCTGAGTAGTGTATATAATTTATTTCTATAGTTTTTATATTCGAATTCCAATTGTAGTGAAAAGTTTTTTAAAAGTTGAATCTTTAGGTTATTATGCTGTATTATAGAGTTTATAAGACCATTTGTGATCCAGGGTTTGATTTTAGTTAGCTTTTTTTGTTAAGTTTATCAATAAAAATATTATAACAGTGTTGTGGATTTGTTAAATCATAAAGACTTTCCCAATTTTCAGATGTTAGTAATGTGTTTAATTTATTGTACTCAATTTTATAAAATTCTTTATCATTTATACTACAAGTTTGTTTAGGTTGCTTTATATAAGAAATTTCTATAAACGGTGTAAAATGGTCCGTTATGTCTGTTGTAAAAATTATTGGAGAAATAGATATTTTGTTTTTAAATAAATTTTCTTTTCTAATAAATATGTAATCTATAGTTGATTTTGTATTTTTAGTAACTCTAGTTGGTTTGTTTATGTACGAATAAAAGCCATTTGCACCAAGAATATTTAAATAGTTATTTGTTTAATTATTTTCAGTTTTTAATAGATTAACGATTTTTCAAAAAAAAAAAAAAATTAATCGATTTTAATACAGGTTGCGTTCGGGGTAACAGTTAAGAATTGATAATGAATCGGACATGCGCTCAAAGTATGAATTAGTAGCTCTGAATCGATTCAGGATTGTTACCGCAAAAGAAGCTATTAACTACACTGATTTAACCCATGGATTTCATATAGTGGTAAGACACCTAGTCAAATATTTTATGTAGATATCTAACGTTACATTATTACAAATTGTTGTACTCAAAATCAATGAATTTGCCTTAAGGCTGTTTTCGCGGTTCACTATTATTATCATCCATGTATCTTAGTTATTTATCACCAGTATAATTTCATTTTTCTGAAGGATTCAAAAGAAACACCCAAATAATCTCTAGTTCTTTCAATTGTTTTGTTAAACCTTAGTATTTAAATAAAAATTAAAAATAAATATTAAATTAGATCAATTTGCAGTTATCAATTTTTGGAAAACTGGAGTTTGTAGCTGATTTTTTTCATTTTTTTTTCTTCTATTTACAAGTTTTGCCAAAATCAAAAACTAATTGAGTTTTGTAGTAAACCGTTTTCCAATATTTTTATTTCGAACTTGTGAAAATATTTCCCTTTTTATCATATACCTGTAACCAACTGTAGCCTGGATTAGCAAATATAAAGTGATTCGGCCAGGGTCTAACTCGGTCTTTTGATTGTAAACATTTAGTATAATATAAATTTTATTATTTTTTTATTTTTTACGTATTGTGTAACTAAGTATGAAAGAAAAGTTGTGCAGTTACTAGCAGTTACTATTTTTATTATACATTTTACTAAATAAAAAAAATATAATTTGATATGCGAATATGATTTTTATTAATTTCCAAATTACACGGGAATTCATGAATATTTTGAGAAATATCTCGAGTCGAAAACAATGGAAAATTTTCAAAATATTCCTAAAAACAGATTATATTAATTTTTAATTTATTGGAAATATTATAAAAGTAACCTTTATTATTTTGCTAATTTCATATCCTAATGTCTTTTCGACAATACTCAGCTCATAATGAGTTAATAAGTAAAAGTATTTTCGAAGCAGCTTGGTAGGCCATGGGACAAGCAGGACTGGAAGAATTGCAATTAGCAAAAGATATTGAAGAAGTAAATGAACAAGGAAATAGTCTAAATGCAGTGATTGTTGACGGTGCATGATCTAAGCGGTCATATAAAGTTAATTATAATGCTTTATCTGGAGTTGTAAGTTAATATTTTAATATTATGACGTGTGATCCAAAAACAATGTTTCTAAAGTAAGCCATGACCGACAGAATTGTGAAGAGTCCATCATGCGTGATTTTTCCATGGTCTACTTTAGAAACATTTTTATATTTGACATAACATATAAAGGGTTTATTTTTAAATGTACTTATTTTTTACAGGCTTGCATTATTGGGGCGAAAATTGGAAAAGTTTTGTATGTTTCTTTTAAAAGTAAGTATTGTCCTATTCGTGCTCGAGCTTTAACTAAAAACATAAAAGCTGCAACTCATAAATATT